GTCTCCGTGACATGGCTGCTTCAACACTAACTGCGTTTACTGAAACCACGCCTTCTTTCTTTGCGTGCACATTTGGGCCGCGTTATGCTAATATTTCCACATAGTGAGGTAGATATGTGGGGCGTGTTAGAACGAGCCGTTTTAGGGGGGCGTGGCAGAGTCTTAACTTTGATAAAGAATATCTCTTTGGTTTTGAGACTTTAGTCTTTGCAACTTCAGGGATCTTATCTATGCACAATCAGCTTGTAACACTCCAAAGAGAAAGGAAAACTTGAAATCGCATCATATGACCCCTTTAATACATTAAACCTACATAGAAAAAAATTTATTAAATTAAGGCTCTTAGTGAAGAAGTGGCTCTATAGTTATATCCTATACTACACTTTATCTACTGAAACTTAAACATGACATATGACGTGCTTAAACAATAAATTCTTTAATCAAACAACATTAACATATTGTTTGGTGTCAGAGTTGAAAATTGTCTTCAGATTCACAAAGGCCAGGATAAAGATGTCTTCCGCTGTATAATTAACACAGCTGACCCTTTTCGATAGCATCCTCCTCTTCATAACATTTGCTTGTTGTAATCTTAAATTGGGTAATTTTCTTTCAAGCTTTTACGCCACTTAGACTTGCACATTTCATTCTTATCTTTTTATAGGAAACTGAGGATTTGAGACACTGCTGTAACCAATGAACAGAACCTCTTTGACCACCTCGACACTGGTGGCATTACAACAGCCTGAGTCAAAAGAGCATTGTTGATCAGTTCTTGGCTGAAAAACAAGAACTGACCTTACACATCCTTTTTTATGTATTCATTACAAAAGGTTGTAGTTTCGATGTGTTTTGTTTCTTCTCTTTCAACATACCTTTGTCTTCTCAACCTCATAAGAACATTACAATCAGTGTTTTTAATATTATTCTATTAGTATTTATTAATATTATTATATTTTTCGTTTTCATTGTCATTTTAGTTTAAGTAATTCTGTTAAGTGATTTTTTCATTATTATTATTATTATTGTATATAGCTTTAATTTATCTTTTTTCCAGTTTTGGTTGTAATTTTATTGTTTCAGCTTAAACTTATTTTAGATAGTCGCCAAGGCAACATTTCTCATTTTTGTTTATGTTTTTAAGTTGAAGTTTTCAATAACAATATTTATTAGTTGTAGTTTTAGTAAACAACACTGCTTAGAACAGAACATGCAACATGCATATGAAATTTATGCACCATTTTCATTATACAGTTCTGTAAGCTTTGCATGAGACTTGAAATGCAATATCAAGACATAAAGGGCGAAGGTCACATCTGTTTCATGTGTCAAAATACCAAATGGATTTGCAATCAAATTTCCCTTCTGCTGCATGTGAAATGACAGTTCAACAAACATTATTTACAGTCAGCATTTGAATTTTGTTCCTAATTTTTCTCCACAATGAGGATTGAAGTGGTTCTTTTATTAGTGAAATCAAATGTCTCATATGTAAACTTGACTATTAATTTAAGATTTTATCTTAATTACTCATAAAGCATACACTTGACTGGTGTTGAGCAAAAAACTAACACATACAAAGCATCAATTTGTTACTAATAAATTGGATGGACAGATTCAATATCAATGTATTCATAGCTCTGGCTTCTCCAGAGGTTTCTTGGAGTCAATGCACTGTGAGGTTTCCAGGTCTGGTGAATAACAAGTAACTAATGTTGGAACGGTTCAAGTGTCTCAGCTCTTCATGGGTCTATTGTCTCATACGTGGGAACCACATGTTTTCCCTGTTTCAAATTTGTTACGCTGGCATGCTGTTTCAATTCATGTTGTCCGCCAACTAACAATCATTGTCTTTTCAAACTTCAGCTCTCTGAATACAAAGATGTCTTTATTGCTGTAGCTGAATTTGTATTGTAGGGAATTTAGTTGCAAACCACAATGATGTATCTGGCAGTTTGTATATTCATCCAAAATAATGACTAATGGAAAGGCTGATGATAAGGGAACAATTGTTATTTCTATTATGGTTTCCAATGTACAATTTCAATTTAGTGATTGTTGGCTATATATATATAAATATAAAATAGCCTATAAAAAAATTATTTCAGAAAGTTTATTTTGTCTCACCTTTATATTGTTCCAACCCAAAAAGGAACAAAAACGTAGATGTTTGGAAAAACTATCTCAGTCACCATTCGACTTCATAAATTTCAATGAAGTGAATGGTGACTGTCTCTGTCAGTCTCTAAAATCTTCTTTAGTGTTCTACAGAAGAAAGAAAGTAATACAGGTATGAAACGTCATGACGGTGAGCAAATTATTATAGATTTTTTTTGGGGGGGTGGATCAACTATGGCTTTAAGATTACACTCACGTCGCCCGGAAGCTGTTGCTGTTGAGGACAAATGCAAGTCGGAGGCGCGCGCTGCTGAGCGTGAATGACAGACGGACGCGCGCGCGGTGTCCCTGCACTCACGCAACTCATTCGTTTGTCAAGATATGTTTGTTGAGATATTCTTTGATGACGCTTTTGTATTCACGAACTACAGTTTGGAAATAACTCCTTAACATCAGTGACAAGTACCTCTCGGGTAAGTTGTTAAATTAGTTAACTTGCTTGCGTACAGTTCGTTGGATGTTAACGTTACGCCTTTTAAACATTATTTTGCTTGTGCCTAATTCCCCAAGTGAGTTTTGTCTTGTTTTCAGCAATTAACAAAACAACATAAATATGTCTGTGTTTAAATACTCTTGAGTAATTAATAGTGTTAATTAGATAAAGCTGTTTCTCCTCAAACCTGTTGGTGGTTTGTTTTTGTCAGTTTGTTTAGCTGTCTCCAAGAGAAGTATTGAATCTTGTTTAAGTATTTACTACTTTATTTTTACTTTTACTTAGCGTTGCAGTTAAACAGTACGGCTATCATTTTGTAAATGTTTCTTTAGTTTACATCAAGGTTTCTTGAGTACAACAGCGGACAGGATGCGCGCTCCCGTGCGCCAGCAGGGTTGTTCTCACACGTGAAAAGTGTGCAAAATAGACCGTGAACTAAAGTATTAAAACTTTATTGAGGTGTATCCGTGAGATAGGAACAGGGCGAGGTTTCGAAGCGCTATTTAAAGCATACCAATGGTCTGTTTATCCTTCATTGTGGCTAAAGGAAGGGTCGCTCCCGTTACTTGATACACTACATGTTTCCCAGCTGGGCGCGCGGTCATGAAGCGCGCTCCTGGGGAGATGCATGTCACAAAAGCAGAGAATTGAATGCGACACCTGATGGCTGATGCTCGTATGTTGTCACGGGTCTACATTGTACATTCTTTTGCATGCTAAATCCTAAATAATTTTACTCAATTAGTTGTATACAACTAATGTAGAAGTTAGTTGCATTAATGTAAAAATGCATTTATAGTTTAAGAGCCACAGCTCTATGTACATAGAGGTAGTGCACAGAGTAACAAAACAAAAGAGCCTTTACTGCGCTGCACTGGATTGTTTTATGATCCAGTCTCATTTGCTTTGATCTAATATATAACACCATCAGTGACTCAGCTTTATGACCTTTGTGGTTCCCTTTTGTATTTAGTTCTGCCAAAAACAACTTCATTTTTTTCATGTGGTTAGTTAATGTATAATAATTATATTAAATAATTAATTGTATATAATTAGGCAAGCAGGTTTATGACATCCTACTGAGAGACTGTATGTATTTGTACTTAAAAAAAATAGAGGTCAATGAAAAGTTGACTAGTTACAGGACCTAAGATACACTTTACCTTATACCTTCAAATAAGTTTTAACCTTAAACCTTGATATTGATTTAAAATACATAATATACATGGTTTTAAATCCAAGTTCATTATTTACTTTATCGCATATAGATTTTATTAGAAAATGCGAATAGGCCTGTCACGATAACAACTTTTTGTTGTGCGATATATTGCCCCAGAAATAACTGCGATAAGCGATATTATTGTCATTTTAAAGACCATTTTATGCCACTGAATATATAATCATAATGTAACAGCATAATAATGCAAGAAGGCCTACACACTTCCAAATGACAATAAACTTTAAATTTTTAAGAATATTTAGACCATAGATACCTTAAAAAACCTGAATAAATAGTAAATAAAAATGTTTTAACAAAAAGTGCAAAGTAACAAGTACAAAAAAAGAAAAATGCACACTTTTATGGAGATTTTTCCATCTACAGATTTGTCCCTGACCTTCTTTTCTCTGTAAATTAAGGGTGCACACTATTGCTGAAAAACACAATCACTACTCAGCAGTCAGATGTCCGCATGCACAAAGGCACAGATCCCTAAACAAGACCATATCTGCAGATGAAACTCTTTTTGTAGAAGCATTTTTTAAATTTGAACGAGCA